TTGCAGGCGAAGGGTCGTTCTTTTGGAACGCCAGAATCGCTGCACGCGCAAAAGCAAAGGAAGCCTCGATGTTCACCTTGGAGCTTTCGCGGACATCCTCGGGAGTAATTTGGAGGAAGGGCTTCCACACACCATGACCTGCGTTGAAAATCGCAGCCCTGATGGTGTATTCGGGGGAGGGGAACTGCGCCTCGATCGACGCAAAGGCAGTCGTGACGTCTTCTGGACCATATGCGGCGACGGGGAAGGAATGTGCCTGTGGTGATGCTGAGAAATGCCGACCGTCTCTATGGATGGGTATCACTCACCTTTCCACCGGAGCCATTGATAGAGCTTGCGAGCACATTGAGGGATTCTGAACCTCGTGAGATCAGTGCAACGGTGTATCCTTCTTTCGCAAAGAGGCGGCTGCAAGAACTCAGGGGACGTGAGGGAAAGGAGTATAGAATACACACGCAGCTGCTGCACCCGTCCCTGAGCCGTTCCCGATCCCTACACAATTCGGAACATCAAATCCTGGGTTGGGGGAGGTGAGAGACAGACAGTACCGGCGATGACAACTACTGAAGATCCCATTACAAGTGGGATACGATGCTGCGTTCTCCGGCCCTTTATATCGTTTGAATAGTCAGCAAAAGCTCGGCGAAGTCAGCAAGAACTCGGCGAAGTCAGCAAGAACTCGGCGAAGTCAGCAAGAACTCGGCGAAGTCAGCAAGAACTCGGCAATGTCAGCACCGCAGCAAGTCCGTGTCCATGTCGACACGTGTCGTCAACATTCGCAAGGATGGCGCCAACATTCTAGAAACAAGTTGAAGGCCAGGATCGATTGATATCCTCACCTGTTACAAAGGTCGCAGTGAGTGTGAGTGGAAGCCAAGTGCCGAAGAGGCATCGGCTGATCGATACTTCTGAGTCGGATCATCGGCCCGGCCGAACACACCCGGCCTGAGCGGTCACAGTTCACTTGCAGTTCACCGTTTTCTCCTTCGAAACCCAAACCCCGCAGGGTAGCCGGCTCCATGCTATTTTTGAGAATCTGCTCTGCGTGGACCGATGTCGCTATGGACCTCCACACATGTCGACTACCTCAGGTCGGATTTCGACACTGCTTCAAGTTCCGACGGTCGGAACTTGAAGTGTTGCAAACCTCGCCGTGAATACTAAGTAACTCTAGTAAGGCGACAGCAAGGTTGAAACGTAAATCATGATTAGTATGCCTTCAAACGCGCCGCACTTACCCTCTGCCCAGTGTCATCTACCTTGGCAACAACATGGCCGCGCCCTCTCTGTCGTAACTCGTTCGCCAATGCGCCAAACAGCCTAAGGCTACGAGCCTGGAAATCCACGATGCAGGACTGGGCGACTTCACCTCCAAAAATCGTAGATGTCGAAGGGTAACGGGAAGGCTCGATGCCAGCAAGAAAGTAAACCAATTGTCGGTCTTTGAATTCTTGAACATGGGACCGTCCTCCGCTTTTTTCCATTGGAATAGCGAGTGGAGGTTCATTTCCGCCTTCTACCTGACCTCAGTTCGGAATATGATTTGTATAATACCCGAATTTTCCCAAATTAGGTCAAGTGTGTGTGTGTGTTACGGTGCGAACTAGTAGTACAACGGGCGCCGCCCATTCAAGTTCATTTACATCTGTCGCGTGATAGTATGGTTCCCGCCATTCAGTTCCACAGAACCACTCGAAGTCGACAGAACGTGCGTGTCCACAGTCAGAGGGCCGGTTCCAGGTAGCGTGACCACTCCGCTCGTGCCCGCCGGAGTTTGCAACGTAAGTATAAGGGTCTGGCCCACAACCTTCCACTGTACGCCAAAGGATCCAAGCCTAGTTTCGAGACCACCCTCAGCCGAGGGCAGTCCACTGAGGACTGGGGCGATGGTCCAGGTTGCGCCTAATGCAGAGGTTAACTGAATACCAAGCAGATAAAATGTCATGGCCGGGGTGGGACCTATAATTTTAACTTGTGTCAGCGGCAAGCGTCCAGAGGGAAACAAGTATGACAAGTACCCGTTGCCCATCCGTGTGCGTGGCTGGTATATGTGTGGTCAAGGTCATAACCTGCCTCAGCACGGTACCTGTTGCATCATGTGTTGGAACAAACGTCGTTGGTTTCGATCCCGCACGCACCCAAGCGATCCGTTGGCAGTGAAACCTTCGAGCAGGGTCGACTGCACGCTGATATCTGTGTACAACATATATCCCCACTCCCTTTCGAGAAGTTCAAGGGCGCGTTCGCCCTGACCCGCGATGAAGTGTGCCTGAACCTAGGGAATGGGTGTAAATCAAGTTCCATGTTAAACCAGAAAGATGGAGAGTACTTCGAATCCACCAATGAACGGAATAATTGTGTCATTCAGCTCAGGACTTAGAGGTCCGATTGGAGTCCAGAACTGAGTCAGGCCTTGACTGATGGCGGTATTTTGTGCGGCAGAAGTGGTCAAGTTAAACAGGACGGCGATTGAGTTACCGTCTTGAGGATGAATGCTGTCCGGTGCGTCGTTATCTCGGAACAGTCCAACACTGGGATCCCACAGAAGCTTGTTGTACGCGGCTTTAATAGACGTAGCGTTCGCGAGATAAGCGGATGCCAAGGTCTTGTCTCCGATCTGCGTCGCCAGGTCTGCACCGGTGACCAGAGTCTGCAGAGAAATGATTATTCGATTGGAAAAATAAGTAGCAGGACGTTCACTGACCCGATAGAGCAGGGCATTGAAGGCCGAGTTGTGACCAGCTCCGCCTACTCTACCCCAGTCGTTCTCGAAGGCTACAGGCACGTCGGCGAGGCCAGTCTCGTCTATCTGACTCACTAGGAAATTGACTGCCTTTGTGTAGTTTGCCCACACCGACTCGACGAATGCAAGATCCCCAGTATACAAATAGTAATTGTGGGTGCCAATGAGAGACCACGCAATGTACGTGTCGCTCCCCTGGGCATTAATCGGAGGACCCGAGTAATTCAAGGCACCAGTGGCGGGATCTTGAGTGGTGAACATCACAGTGAGAGAGTTCTTGGTCGGCAGAAGATCATTGAGCGCGACTAATTCCGTGTGGGTTGAAATACCGCAATCCCCTGACACACATTAATTTTGGAAGGTTATGCAGGCGACAAAATCACCTGGCCAGATATTTCTATTCATGCATCAGTCCCTGAGTCCACGAGCACGTCGAAACCTACCGGTCCCGTTTTGCGCCGTCAACCAAGATCGGCCCCTCAACAGGGCCGCCGGATGCATTGTTCGACCATCCACCTGTTGTGCCGTGTCAGAAATCTTTGCGAGAGAAACATTTGCGGTCTACTAATAACGAAGGGATTCCTCGCCTGGTGGGAATCTATTGTGTTCATTTGAACTGTATAAGCGCCTAAAAGCAGAAAGGTCAGCAAGTTCAAGTGTCGCTTCTAAGAATGCAAGTGAACACACCTGCATACCAAAGCTTGGTCAGAAAGTTGACGTCGTGGAACCCCGGATCCGGTGCGAAGAAATAACCAGGATACGCTCTGAGATTGTCCCAGTGGGGCATCCAGGTGACCGCCAGGGAAATGTTGGAAATAGTAAGCGGATCAGCATCGTTTGAGACGATGGTCAGGAACCGAAATCCGCCCCGCTGCTGTGCAATCGTCTGGGTGAGCAAGCCGAGTGTTAGAGGGGCCCGGAATGACTGGACGCCGTCTGAATTCTCGGTCGCGACCACATGGCAGGAATCGTCGGACCGGTTGGGGTTGATGAATAACGGGGATTCCGTGAATGCGAAGGAGAATTGAGAGGAAGGCGTTGCTTTGTTTATGGTCAACGACAAAATCCCGCCGACCTAGGGAGAATGGTGACTTGTAATTGGCATGTTCACCTGGAAAAGACATACGCACTTCTTGCCCCCAATCTAGGACCACGTAGGAACTGTTTCCGATGAAAGTCGCCTGTGCGACGGAGTCTTGAACAAGGCCGCTTGCGCCGTCAACGGTTCCGCTGACAGTGCGAACGGACACAGGTTTAACGACCTTTGATTTAGGTGCAAAGTTGAAGGCATCCCATGGTCCACTGGGCGCAAGAGCTGCACAAAGAGGTATCAAAAGTGCGATAGAGTAACAACGCGACCACATTTTCGATGCCAGGGGAAATGGCCACTGTAACTGTTGGTAGCGGGTGCTCGCTTTATATAGAGCGGACGTCATCCAAGTGAACACAGTGCACAACGAAGAGAAGGGTCGCCGGCTTCTGGAGCATGAGGATAGGTCATGGGGCTGTGAAGTCGAAATCTGGAGACGTCCGCCTGAGAATTTCGAGATCCAGGCAAAACATTCAAGACTAGCGATTTGAATGGGGGCGCACCTTGCTCATTCCGATAGACCTACCTGGAAAACGGCACAAATTCTAATGCGACTGTGGGCCTGTGTTTCGACCACATCATACGATAAAGAAAGGGCACCTGAATATTCGATGGAAACTTGAAGCGACGGCGGGAAAGGAGCTACGACCCGAGAGATTGGTCAGGCGTGGCGTCAACTGGAGTCGTAAGATGGGTGTGTGTCGCGCCGGGCCCCGTCACTGTTGAGGCCAAACGGTATTCAAGAGCATCCAAGTTCATGTTCAGTTGGAGCACTGGGCGCTGCTTCAAGTTCAAGTCTGGTCCTCTGGTCGCCCGGGCACCAGCGGTAAAGATCCACACTGCCGCGCCCGAAAAACGTTGATTTTGCAAGGGTGCTTGCTTAGGTCACACTGGATCCCTCGGTCTTCCCCGATGTCAAGAAGCTGTTGAGAATCTTTGATGGGAACCAGGCTGATTGCAACAATGATGGCGCTTTTCGCCAAGTCTGACGATTCTGTGATTCTCTGTCAAGTCTCTGACACACGGGACACACGTTGGTGGTCCGGGTCTCACATCTGGGGTCCAGCCCAGTCCGACGGAGTGATTTACACGGGCGAAATCGAAGGTTGCTTCGATAACTTGTGGATAACTTACGAGAAGCTCAGGATAAAAAAACGAAACAAATAGTTCCCGCTAGCCGATTTGAACGACTGACCTCGTCATAGCTCAGGGGAATACCTGACGCTACTAGTGACGCGCTCTACCAACTGAGCTAAGAGGGACATGTTCAAGCTAGAAAGTACATAGTTATCATCACGGAAGGACTTGTTGACACCAATTGCATCGAGGCAAGTATAGTTTGTGCTGAGACTTTGCTTAGATGCTAACAGTCCCGTAACCCCCGTTTGTGCCTGATCAATTTCAAACTCTTTATTGCATTGAGTATATGTACAGATGCGGCTTGGGTACAGATGGAGATGGAGATGCAAATAAATGGATAGCTATATAGCCATGAATACGAAATACCCAGAATGTCTGATTTTGATCTCGGCTTAGGCTATGAGGTGTTCCTGATTCCGATGCACCCTGCCACCACGCATTGCTCAAGATGAGATCACCCAGTACAATTGCACCGATGCCCTGTGTGGTTGTTCTCCGGTTGCTGTGCAGCCTTGTCGCTCGTGGTCATCTTCCTTTGGTTGCGGATTCCAGACATTGCGGAGCAGGGGAATCTTGAGTCCGGCAACCACAACGCCTTCCAGCATGCAGATGTGGAACAAGTCCGGGCTGAGGAGGGTGACATCCGTGTTGTCTGAGCCTACTCTGTGATTGGAGTGGCAGGACAACGTGTCCGGATGACCCATCAGGTGGCCGGGTTGGTGGTGCAGTGCGAAGTTGAACTGGGACAAGTACAGAGACCACTGCACTTGCCTCCGGTTCAAGTTCTGTGCCTTCCAGAAGCAAGCTTTTGTGATCCATCCAGATCTCAACGGGATGCTATGTCCCCTCGAGGAAGTGTTGCCACTCCTTGAGGGCCCGGACGATAGCGAGCATCTCTTTGTCGTGGATCTCGTAGTTCCGTTGGACGTCATTCAAACTTTTGGAGTAGAATGCAACTGGGTGCCACTTTCCGTCTATATCTGGTTGAGACAGAACAGCCCTGGTAGCATAGTCGGAACTGTCCGCTTCGACCCGGTATGGACACAACTCATCCGGGAGGACTAAGATGGGCTCTGCAGTCACTGTGTCCTTGAGGGCTTGGAATGCGGCAGCTGCAGCAGCGGTCCAGGTCCAGACGATGCCCTTCTTCGGGAGATCAAAGAGGGACCGGGTGATGTCCGAGAATGCCCAGATGAACCTCCAGTAGAAGTTTGTGAAGCTGCACATCCTTCTTGTTCTCCAGAGCAGGCCAAGCGGTGACCCCAGCGACCTTGACCAGGTCCATCTTAACGTGGTTGTGAGAGATGATGACACCTAAGTACTTGATTGATGCCTTCTCAAACTCACATCTCTCTGGCCGGAGGTAAAGCCAGTGCGCTCAGAGCTGACAGAGAACCTCTCGGACAATGTCTCAGTGACGAGCGAGGTCGGAATGCGCAACGAGGATGTTGTCGAGGTATACCATAATGTCTCCGGACAGGATAAGGTCCTGGAAGATGTTGTTCATCATCATCTGGAACGTGGCGGGGGAGTTGGTAAGTCCGAAGTACATCACCAGTGGCTCAAAGAGCCCTCGGTTGGTACAGAACGCGGCCTTCCATTCGTTGGCACCTCCCCAGATCTGGACGTTGTTGAACCCCTACCAGATGTTGAGTTTTATGAAGAACTGGGCTCCCTTCAAACGGTCAATGAGGTCGTTGATCAGAGGGAGCAGGTACTGGTTTTTCACAGTCATCGCATTGAGTGCCCAATAGTCCTGGACGAACTGGAGACTCCCGTCCTTCTTTTTGATGAAGAAGACCAGGGATGCCATCGGTGACTTAGACGGACGGATCCGGCCGGTGCTCAGTCCATCCTCAATGAAGGCATCAAGCTCCTTCTGTTCGAGGGGGGAGATCGGGTACACCTTGTAGTTGGCCGGCTTCGCATCCAGAACGAGCTCGATGGTGTGGTCCCAAGTCCAGTGTTCCGGCAGCGCATCAAATGACTCTCTGTCGAAGATGTCGGAGAAGTCTGAGACTCATGCTAGGACCAAAGTTCCGGGCAGGGCTAGTCTCTCCTAGACAGACACTACAAACATTTTTATCTCGTACCTCGATTGTTTGTAGTCTGTTGATTGCCTCAATCAAGTGATTGCTCACCCTAGTTATTACCAATCATCACGTCCCGTGCCACCTGTGACACATAGTGACACACAACTTCGACGTGTTTTCCTGCTTCTCTTCCGCGTCTACCACTCTCTGCGAGCTCTTGATATGCGCAAAACTAGCTTATTCATCGACTGGAGGTTGCTAAAAGTTGCCAAAATGTCTGCAAATTCTGGGCAGACACCAGTACCACGTGTCCGCCAGTATAATCGGACACCTGCACCGCTTACCATCCCTGTTCTCCCTCATCTCACCTCAGTTTGTGCATCTAACAGTCCCATAACTCCATCTCCTGCCTCAGCATCGTCTCAAGCGCGGCTGCGAGCTCTGGGATGATCGCAATGGACCAAAGTAGACGATGTTCTTGGCACATACGGTTTCGCCAATATTGGCAAATTTCTGGCTGTTTTATTCCATCCCCGCATTCGTGGACAAAAGGACCATTGAACTAAACGTCATAGGCAGGCAGTCACCGCCTTTCTGTAGGGCAGAACGAGTGTGAAGATGTTGCAGATCATCAAGTTGCTGTATAATCATTATAAGAGCCGTCCCAAGAAGAATGACACCAATCAGTATTCCGCGGCCTTTTCTGCTTGCCGACCTCTCAGCAAAATCCGGTGTCCTCGACCTTGTTTATCGTCCTGGACTACGCGGCTTGTTGGCAACCGTACATACTATTACGTTGGCAAGCTCGCGCAGAAACAGCGTGGACATAGGACGCAGCACCATCTCCGAGCCCACACAAATGGCCGCACTGAAAATGCCGAAGTCGTTGAATGGGAAGATACTGAATTTGGAATTCAGGAGCTCACAGTTCAATATGAAAAGGAAGACCCATTTCTCTGGTACTTGATGGAATGTTTCGCGGTGTCGCACAAAAAAGGCCAAGTCATTGTAAAGAAAACTCGTCCCCACCCTGTGGTATGCTACATTTATTTTCATGATATCTTGCCACTAACAGAACCAGTTTTCCTAGATTCAAGTTGGTGCTATCAATTTGTTCATTGTCTCCCGAAACCAGTACGCAAGCGGGGAGCTTGCGCTTCCGCTCGGAATCCGGCTGTTTGCATGCCAGGCACACATTGATGTCAAGCGTGTTTTCTGCCACTTCGGTTTCAGTGTTAGCGATAGCACCGCATGCAACACATTGAACTCAATGACAGAATCCAGTTTGAACAAGCTGCATGAAGACATTCAAGATGCGACAGAAAAAGGCGAGGTGCGATGGGAAAGTGCTGGATTTTTTTTTTTTTTTTTTTTTTTGGTTCAAAGTTTATTCCCCTCTGTGTCTAGGACATATGGTAGGGATAAAACTAACTAGTGTTGTGTGCTGCAGGTAAATTTTGGGACTGTCGTAGGTGATGTGAATTCATCTAAACTTGGCGACACCGTCCAGGACGGGCGCGAAGCGGAAAGTCCGCTGGAGCACGCAAATGGTGCTGAGGTTGGCATGAGGTCATGAGGTAAGTAGGAATGCATGAAGTCAGGACAAGGTTTTGGGAATGTATCGGGAAACACGGCAGCGTGTCCCAAGAACAAGGGCTCCGTTCCGTATTAATAGATCAGCATCCGACGGGGATGAAAGCGACACCCGTAAGGGGGCCGTGTTGCGTGTGAGGAGGTCGGTATCTTTGCACATGAACGACATCTCTTTGATTTCGCCAACGACACCACTCGTCCGGAGCCAGGAGTCAACACCCTGAAGGGCCCACTCGTGGACGGTACAATCCGAGGAATCTGAGATGGGGCCAGACTGTGGGACAGCATGAATGACAACATTGTGCCAAGAGTCGCCGGCATCGACTCGGGGTGAATAGTGCTTCGGCATTCTGAGGGTGAGCCGGATGAAGTTCCACAACATGGGGGCCTGCTTCATAGCCTTTTCTGCAGTGAATTTCCCATCACGTAGGAATGCAAACGTCAGGTTTCCCTTCGCGGTCCAGCGAATGCTGGCGAGATGAAGATCACCTAGGAGTGACTTTGCCTTCTCTCTAATGTCAATGAAGAGGCGGGCAGTGGAGGGACGGGAAGCAGCAGAGACTGCTCGGGGAAGGTGATCCAGTCGGAAAATGAGGTCAGGACGCGTCTGCATTTTTGGGAGGTGCGGCGTCGGTGATACCACAGTGACAGCGGGTGGCTTGGCATCAGCCATCGTTATTTCGCCTCGGTCTTCTTCGGGTTTGGCAACGGGATCAGTGGCAGTGCCTGTCATAGTCTCTGCATACGTGGTAGGTGTCGTGGTCGAGGGCAGGGATGGGGGTGGGGGTGGTGTGGGGTCGGTGTCTGGGGTGTGGTGTGGTGCCAACACAGAGGCATGCCTGCACAGAGCCTGCAAGACCGCTATCATATGACCAGAGAGTGCTGGCGTGGTCGTGGTGTGGACATGGTCACGGATGATGGTTAACGCAGCAAGGGCGGAGTCCAGCGATGCTTCGAGGCGGAGATAGTGGACAGAGAGGGTGTCTGAGTGCAGCAGCAAGTCCCCCGCGAGTAGCTGGGGAGCCAGGAAAGTCGGGGGTGCCAGACCGTGAGTCGGCACCTTTTGGTCATGGTGGTTACTGCGTGAGAACATCAAAGTGCTGGATAACATCCAATGCTATGACCATGTCTTTGAGCATGGTTTGGGTCAGGCCGATGTGCTTGAACTGAGGGCGAAAACTGGCACCCCATTGGTTGATCAGATGAGCCTCGTCCACGCAGCCATACACAATGTTGGCGGAGAAGATCTCGTACACAGCGATCTGTTGCCAAGACTTATCACGAAGATATTCTGGATCAAGACAGATGATGCTCCATGTTTTACATTCTCTGATTTTGTGTACGAGATTTCGGCTGTCCTTGCGCGCCTGTGTAATGGTTTCTTGGCAGTAGGAGAAAGCTGGGATATTGAGCTTGCCGAGCTCAAAAACCTGAATACAATTCTTGTAAGTGAAAGATGAAGTAATTGACCGTACAATATTAGCCGCAAGTCCTTT